GAAATTAAGAAAGGGAAAGCTAGAGAGCCCAAAGATTCATTTAGATAATTTGTTACAGCTGCAATACAAGAAAAACTAATGATGAGTCTGAGTAGAAGCTACCTCGTTATACTCCCTAAAGATCCACCTTGATAAGTTTGACCATCGTCTAGATGATGCTGTACTGGGGTGATTATAAATTTCTTCAGCATGCCTTAGAATGACGTAAACCAATGGAAATATCACAAGGCAGGGTGATAGGATAAGCATTGCAATGCCAACAAATATAAGTCGCTTTTTCAACACATCTGGGCTTGTCAAAAACTCTTTCCTTACACAAAATTTACTGAAAAAGGAGAATGAATGTTTAGTAAAAGAATTCACAATGAAGAGGAAGCAAACTCTTAGTGAAATAAAACAAATTATTAGTAAACACAATGTTTTGAACCATCCCGAAGCAATGTATGAGTGCTTGGTAGAAAGTCATCTGGTATACACATTGGAAGTTGGGGAGTCTAGATTCTAGTGTGTAACTTTCACATGATCTGTTGGATGAGCTTCAGATGGATGTTTGAGGACTATGATTCATCATAAATGATCGGTTCTATATGGATAGGTTATTTAAGCTAACAAAGTAATGTGACAGAATACATCTGGTCACCTAGAAAATGCATTAGTACGGATTGATTAGAACTTAGAAACCGCTATTTAAGTATACACACTGTAGTAATGTTATGACAGAACATAAGTTCTGTTCTATACAAAGTGCCTCCAGTATTAACTAAAATAAGTAAAATAATAACGATTGGCATTGACAGTTGGCTGATTCATTTCAGAATTCTAAAGTTCCGATGCAGCTATGTGCTGAAGCAGCAGCTTAACAGCTTATGCCTTCTTAATGGCCTAGTTGCTGCCCTTTTTCTTCCATATAAACGGCCTAGTTGCTCTGGGCTGAGCTAATATCCAAAGAAAGACTAGCATGTAAAAACAAGCACATAGCTTGTTCATGAAGAGACTAAAGCATTTTAGCCAACTATATTTTACAAAAAGAAAGAAAAAAAAAAGATCCAATGGAAGTAAGCAGTCACAGACTTCCTTACCTATCAAACATACTTTGAAAGATGCACCAATTTAAGGTCCATTCGAGGGCCTTTGGAAGTATCAGATAGTTTCTCCTGCCATGCTCATGTGATCCAACAGTTGGGCCAGCCCCAGGCACACAAGAATGAATTGGAAATGAAAGAATGCCTTTATTGACCACCCCTATCAAATAATTTTCTTTCCTCATGATTCTCATGATAATATCATGCTCTGAGAGATCCCTAACAACACAAAGTTTTTGAGATTTCTGGAGTACGACAACCTTCTCAATTATTTTGGGCCATGATATAGTCTGAATCTCAAGATCATTCACCTTAAGTCTGCATGAAGGTAAACAGAATAAGGGCAAAGTCATTGCTATGAACTATAAAAATAAAAAAGGTTAAGCAGGAAAAACATAAGCACAAAAGTTACCTGTCATAGTAGAACTGACGAACACTGAGTGTGCTTCTTAACTGTACAAAGAACTTGAGGAAGTTGGTAAGTCCATAAGCTGTCATTATGACCATTGATCCAACAGTTATCATTTTGGGCAATGTGAAGGGAACTAAAGGATCATGCTTAATGACCTTCATCAGATCACATGGTTTCTCCCCAGATTCAAGTGCCTCCACCCCGCATTTCAAATGAATAAGAGTATCCCAATCAACAAATAAGAAAAAGAACCCGATACAGCATACCATAAAAAGTACATTAAGGACCTCTATTATCCATTTGGTAATGATACACCTGAGCCCTTTTGCACAGAAATATTCGTAAAGCCTTTCAAAGAAAATGTCCAAATCAGGGATATGTTCTTCCTTGACGCCTTCGCCATGGAGAAGTCCAGATGGGCTCTCACTTCCAGAACTTGGCAATCTCCGGTAGTCGGACAACTCTATTTCAGGTGGAATATCAACAAGCAGCTGTGCTGATAACGGCGATTGGCTTCTCCATGGCCAGTTAAGTCTTGTTTGTGCATGTGTGTCCTTCGAAGGGAAGGACATCATTCGTGAAAAGAGAAGGCAGGGCCAGTAGATAGGTCCCTTGCCATGCCAGACACACACACCTACATGAAAAAACAAATATTCACATTTTGCATACAACCATATACTCGATTGAAGTAGCAGCACAATGAAACCAGAGTTCCTCCAAAACTCACAGATTAAGACAAAGTCGGTCAATTAAATAAAAGTGATGTAAAATGGAAAATAATTACTATTTGGAGCAGAAGCAAATCCAAAATTAAGTCCTGGGCAAGCTTAAACAAGTACATTTGGAAGGCATCAAAGCCAAATCGAACATATGAGTAGCTATCATTCCTGAACAAAACGAAATTCTGCTATGCCAAGAACTAAATTTCTACCAGCTTACCACATCTAGCACCAAGCAGCAATAGTTGCAGGTTTGCAGCCGAAGCTGAACTACCCTCAAGTTCTTTGCATCAATGGTTTAATCAATCAACTCCTCACTAAGACCAAAATGGCCAAAACGTAATTGTATAACACCTGCTCCCTTCACATAATCACGTATCAAGGGCGTTCTTCAGCAAAAGCAGCTCGATGCCACGGCTACACCCCACGGTTCAGCAGTTAACCAAAAGGTTGAGCTAACTATCAGCAAAATCCGTACTCTCTACCCACACCACCAACGTCTAAACCATCCCCACAACGCATGACCGGTTCAACTAACCAAGGTTGTCAGCTAATTGACGCCCAAACGCCGGAATCAAATCGAACTTGTTCCGTCAATCTAGCTATCCACACAATCGCCAGAAAATAAAATAAAATCCACGCGAAGAGGAGAGAGGCGTTTCACCGACCTGAGGAGCGCCGGCGATCGGCGGGGCGCAAGCGCGAAGGGGGGCCGGGTTGTGGGCAGGGGGGAGAAGCGCGGGGCGGCGAGGGCTGGAGGCTTCGCGTGAGGAGGTGGCTTGCGGTGGACTGCAGCGCCGCCGGGGTTGGGATGGGGTCCGGGCTGGGGAAATTGCGCGAGGGGGCGAAAGCAGACGAGGAGACGGCAGGGAAGGCAAGGGGGCAGCAGGGAAGGGAGGGCGTGCGTTTCAGGAGACGTGACGGGATCGAGGAGGGGAATCGTTTTGTTGCGTTGCGTTAATCGCCAAGGAATTGGGAATCGCAATGGCTTGCGCGTGGGACCGGCCTATGATTAGTTTATTCATTACAGTAACTGCTGAGCACTGTCATTTGGGGCTAGAGCTTATCATCTCCTTTCAGGAAAGAAACAGCGAGCCGGTACGGGTTGCCCGTCAACCTACACGTCAACATTCATTTTTTTGGCTGAAAGAGATATTTATTTGGGCAGAGCCGCATCGTTTAATACTCCGAACGTCCGTGCGAACGCCCGTGTCTGAACGTCCGTGGGCGCGCGGGGCCTCCGATTCGGCGTCGTATGGACGGCCTGTCGGCGCAAGAGAGACATGCAGAAGGTGAGGAGGAGATATACAACGTCCGATCTATTTTTAAAATATTTAAATATAAAAATTACAACATATATCTGAAGACAGTTGAAATACTCATGCTTCTGAAACGCTTGAAAAACACATAAAAAACACTTGAAAACCAATACAACCATACGCAAATATCCAAATAAAACACATGCGACGTATGTGTGAAACATATGGAACATATAGATAAAACACACTTACAACATGAGTCCGAAAAACACAGATGAAATATACCTCTGAAACATCTAAAAACACTCGAAACATACGCTTGCAATATGCCTATGAAACAATTGCAACATATGCAACATGTGCAACATCACCCGTTCTACTTTTGTAACGTACATCTAAAACGCCTGAAACACTTGAAACATACATATGCAACATAGGGGGAAGGCTGGCCGATTGATTTTGGCCGCCGAGGTGAAGAGGTGGGGGGAGCTCGGTCACCAAGGTGAGAGAGAGGGCAGGGGAGGGGAGGGCGTCACGCCGGGGTGGGGCAGAATTGCCCACTCCCCTGCAACACCGCCGCGTCACCTCCATAGATCTCGCTAGGGTGGGGGAGAGGACCACCGGATCCACAGGCGTTGGGTACTCCCGGTGGGTGAGGATGCCGGGGTGGTGGAGGCCTCTAGGGTGGGGGAGCACGCCGCCGCCGGCCAGGGAGGCAGCTATGGCCACGCGTCGAGCTAGGGGCTTGAGCGCAGAAGAGAGGAAAAAGTGAGGAACTAGTGCGAGAGCGAGTGGAGTGAAAGATCCGTGTCTTAACTGGAGCATCACTGAAATTATAAGGTCTCCGAATCCCAATTCTAAGGTCCATTGCTGTATATACGTATACGCATGGGCGTGGCAATAGCGCTGCTCCACGCATCCACCCATATGCGCTGCTCGGTTGACGTGCGTGTTAAACTTGTGCCGTTGCTGCAAACACGAGTGCTCGTGCCTACACGCCTACCATCAGATCAGACGTGTCAATGCGTGCCGCTTACGGGTTTGAGCAGAGCGCGTCAAGACTCAGCGTCGTCTCTCCTCCAAGAGCGGATCGAGCGGCGGCAGTGCTTTGGCACCATCGCAGACGAGACGCTACACCGACCCCCAACCCGACACGCGTTCTGCGCGATCGCAACTCTGCCAAGGCCGAGATGGATCGATGATCGCCGTTGATCCGATACGTGACGGTCCGGGGCTCCGGGCTTAAAGCGCTGCCTGCTGCTTAGGTACGGTGTTCATGTTACTGGACTAGTTGATCATGTGGTTTATCATGTTCATAACCTAACAGGAAGAGGAACATGTCATTACAGGTTTAGAGCTGAACACGAATTAGAACTCTGAGATTCTTCAGTCTGCTACCAGAAAAAGTTTGCCCTAAATCACCCAACCAGAGAGAGTTTCCCAAAAAAACAACCACTAAATCACCAAACAAAACCATCGGTAACATGGACGCATGGTGCCTTAAAACAGTGCATCCCATGACAACGATTCAAATTGGTTTAGCTATAGCCTGGAGTGGCGTAGACATCCCCATCGTCACCCCAAAAGTCTCAGACATGTCCACTCCATTCCTCTCCACATCCGCCGGAAGCCTCCACTCAAACCGGTGCAGCAAGGTCGAGAGCATGAGGTGCACCATGCGAGCAGCAGCCAGCCGGGACATATCCTCCGGCCGGACCCAAACGGCACGAGCTCGAAGTCCTTGCCGCGGAAATCGATCTCCTTCTTCTCCAGGAACCTCTCCGCACACGAACTTCTCCGGCTCGGCCCACAGCTCGCGGTCCCGCCCGATCGCCCACACGTTCACCAGGACGCGCGTGCCCTTTGGCACCGTGTAGCCTCTGATCTCCGTTGTCGTTTCGGCTTGGCGGGGCAGCAGCAATGGCGCTGGAGGGTGGAGGCGGAACGTCTCCTTCACGATGGCCTGGAGATACTTGAGCTGCCCGACGTCGGATTCCTCGATCTCTTGTTTGGGGCCGAGAGCTTGGGCGAGTTCGTCACGAGCCTTCGCCATCAACGAGGGACTCTGTAGCAGCTCCGCCATCGCCCATTCTATTGTGGATGCGCTTGTATCAGTCCCAGCAGTGAATAAATCCTGCAGAAAAAATATATGAATTGTAGAATGAGATATTTCGATGCGTGTATATGCAGGTTGCTTAATTGTGTGTTGAACCGATTTTATACGCATGGTAAAACTGAAAAGCAACAGTGTAGGTTGTATTTCCTGACTCTTTTTTCGTTTCTCGTTGATCAGGCTTGTTTCCCTTGTCCTTGAATAAGATGTACGGTACAAAGTTAGTAGTTGCATGCTTTTTCAGCCACGGAATTGAGTTTTTCTTCTCAATTGACACGTTTTTGTTACTTGATGGCTATCGTCCACACATTTTGTTTCGTATATTCTGGATGAGCCCGTGGCTGTACGTAGCAAATATTTAACCGTGCCAAGGTAGACCAGTCAATTTAACCATCGCATGTTCTTTACATTTTTCCCACCACACATAACAAGATTAAAGCTGGGTCAACATCGCGCAAAACTACAAAACTTTTTTCTAAGCGGTCGGCAGAAGATCTGCCGAACATCTGATTTATAGAAGAGTTGAAGCATCACATGTTCTTTACATTTTTTTTCCATCATGTATAACAAGATTGACGCTAGGCCAACATCGTGCAAAACTACAGATTTTTTTTTTCTAAGCAGTCGGTAGAGGATCTGCCGAACTTGCACTGATTTAGAAGAGTTGAAGGGACTATACCAACACAGTCAATATACTATCTTTGACAAAGCCTCAAATTACTTGCGTGAGTTTTTATCATAAAAAAGCAATGGAGGCCTGGGGTGGGCTACCGGTTTGGAAAGCCGCCCACAAGAAAAGGGAGTAAAATGGTGTTGCACCCTACAAATTTGTCGTGATTGCACTTCCAACACAATAACAATTTGTTGTCCTTGCGTGATTGATCGGTCGTTGTATTGTCCTTAAGATGTTTCTAGGGCGTGGTGGATTCATGTTGGTTGCTCCGGTGAAGTTGTCCTTTAAGGAGTTGTATAAGGGCTGCCGTGCGGGTGATTTGTTGTCCTGATTTTTTTTTAATCTGGTAGAAACCATATGGTTATGTGGTTTTGTCGGTTCTCTCTTTAAAAATCATGTTGTTATGCTCAGTGATGTGTCCATAAGCAAGTTGTAGAAGCGGTTATAAGGGGTTTTGCCCCTATTATTTAGTATTTTTTATCCGGCTTCCCTCCCTTATAATCTGAGCCTTTTTCTAGTGACGATGTTAGAGTATCTTCAGGGGATCCTTTTCCCATTTCTCCTAAAATCTAGTATAGGCGATTGAGAAAACTGAATTACACTTTATATAGGGGATATATGCTCAGCAGATTGGTAAAAATATCGGCCATGTTCTTTAGCAGTACTTTTCAGCGAAAGAACAATGTTTTTCTCTCACAAGAAATCAGCATCCGCAGCGGTATTAGTCAAATTTCAGCGAAACGAACATGGCCGAATCATCCCTTATACGTGAGCCCCACATGTCAGTGCTACATAAATCTCTTTATCTCCCTTCTTCCTTTCTCTCTCGTCTCGTTTCTCCTGTATACACCATGGGCGGGCGCTCCCGCGAATGGAGCAGCAGTGGGCGAGACTCAACGGGGGGCGACCGGCGTGTAGTGGCAGCGGCAACTCGCCCAGCATGGGGCGCATCGAGGCTGAGGGCGGGCTCAGTGGGCGCGCGCAGTGGTGGTAGCCCACTCAGTGTGGGGCGCGGCACAGCAGCGGCCGGTGGCTCGCGTGTGGGCAGGTGTGGGCAAGGGCGTGTGAGACAGCACAATGCCCGCCCAAGCCAATGGGTTCCGGAGGTCAGTGAGAGATGAATAGAGAAAGGGGGTTGAGAAAAATGTCGCTTCTTCTCCTTTTATGATGGATTCAGGGAGTGAATTTCTCAATTGAGAAAAACATAGAGAAACGAGATTGAAAAGACAATGTGCTGAAGCTTGATTTTTGCCTTTAATCTCTATTATTCCCGATTGTATGAAAATTGGATCATTTATTCTTAATCTAATGAAGATGCTCTTAGAGCGAAGCAAAAGCTTGCGACGTCCAAATGAACAAAGTGGAAGGCTGGAAGCAAGTTTCCAGGGGCAGTTCTTCTATGAACAAGTTTTCCTCCTCGAAAATGCTTCTCCTTTAGTACAGGTAATATTCAGTACACCTCTGTTCCAAATTTGAATGTACTTGGGTTTGTTCTTAGTTAAATATGTTTGAATTTGGACAAAGTTATCAGAATATCGTACGGAAATTTTTATAAAACTAAATAAATATAATATATGGATATATTCTACGATGAATTTAATAAGGGTAAAGTTCAATTTACACCCTCCAATTTTCACTAAAGTCCGGATTTCAACCTCGAATTTTAAAACCGGACAACTTTGGCCCTCCAACTCTCAAAAAAGTTTAACTTTCGACCTTCTGGGGCGGTTTTGCGGATGAATAGTAACTTTTGATATTTTTGGGCCGAATTTTTATATTATTTTTTCGAGCATCTTAACGTCCTCAAATGAAAAAACTCAAAATTACAAAGTTGTAGATCTCATCGAGGTCTACAATTTACATATAAAAATTATCTTCATCCGACATCGTATTGAAGGTTTTTCTATTTTTTGAAATTTGAGTCTCATCACGCGATAAAATATGGTGCTGAAACTCAAATTATTTTTTTCGAGCAACTTCACTACGTCCTCAAATGAAAAATTAAAACTATAAATTGTAGACTCAATGAGATCTACAATTTATATAAAAATTATTTTCATTTGAGGACAGAAGATGCTCAAAAAATAATATAAAATTTCAAATTTGAGTTTTATCGCTAAAATGACACTTAAATTTCAAAAAATAGAAAACCCTTCAATACGATGTCGGATGAAGATAATTTTTATATGTAAATTGTAGACCTCGATGAGATCTACAACTTTGTAGTTTTGAGTTTTTTCATTTGAGGACGTTAAGATGCTCGAAAAAATAATATAAAATTTCGACGCTTCCGAAAATATCAAAAGTTACTGCTCACCCGCAAAACAGCAAAAGGTTGAAAGTTGAAATTTTTCGAGAGTTGGAGGGCAAAGTTGTCCGGTTTTGAAGTTCGAGATTGAAATCTGGACTTTGGTGAAAATTGGAGGGTGTAAATTGGACTTTACCCATTTAATAATAGAACTGATTTGTTATTGTAGCGTTGATACTTTTTGTGTTGAAAACCTCGTCTACCCGAAGAACCAAAACACCCAGCGTTGTATGTCGTGGTGGAATGGAGAAAGGAGTTACCGAAAGCAATGACAGCAGCGTTTGCCGATCGAAGCCCCGGCCATCCTCCACGCCGCGGTAGTCGAGCAACAGGTCCAGGAAGTCGTTCTTGGGTGGATCCCCGGCGGCGCGCTCCTGCATACGCCGCTCAATCTGCTCGTCGAAAATGGCGTGCAACTTCTTGAACACCCTCACGAGGCGCGCCCTCAGCCGCTGCGGGTCCAACGACGCGATTGCCGGGAAGAAGTCTGACAAGTTCGGCGCCCCGACGGCCACCGGGAACTCCTCGATCACCGCCATGAACTCACCCGACGCGCCGCGGTCATCAAGGTCCGCAAGGTCGGCGGACAAGATGGTGCAGGAGAGCAGGTTTAGGGCTGTCGTGAAGGCCACACGGCGGACGTCGACGGCCGCGCCTTGGCGCGCCAGCCCGGCCACGTGCGACACGAGCCGCTGCACCTTGTCGCGGCGGAGGGACTGGTGCGCGTCGAGGCGTTGCGGCGCGAAGAGCTCCGCGGAGCACACCTTGCGCAGGGCGCGCCACCGGGGGCTCCCCGGCGGGAGCCAGCCCATGGAGTGCTCGTCGTGCGCGCACGCCCGGGCGGCGTCCGGGACGCAGCGCGTGGAGAAGGCGGCGTCGTGGCGCTGGAGGACGTCGCGCGCGGCGTCCGCGGAGGATGCGACGACCGTGGTGACCGCCCCGAGGCGCAGCGCCATGAGCGGGCCGTGGCGCGCCGCGAGTCGCGCGAGGGAGCGGTGTGGGTGGGCGCCGAGGTCGAGGAGGTTGCCGACGAGAGGCAGTGGGCGAGGGCCTGGGGGAAGGTTGCGGCGGCTGCCAGCGAAGAAGAAGCGGAGGTAAAGGGAAGAGACGATGAGGATGGCACATAGCGTGTACAGGTGGAAGAGCTCCATGGTGAGCTACTGAGAGCTGAGCTCCGTGGCATGTGTGCATTGCTATGTGCGACGTGGCCTTGTTCTTGTAGAGGCGGACGCCGGCCAGACAGGCCTACGGCACGAGTAATAGGACGTGTGAGGACTTTGTGGAAGTTTGCTGGCTGCTAAGCTACGGACCGCGTGATTGGTTGAGCTCTGTTTGCAAATTAATGCTACGGACCGTGATTGTTTTTTTTGAAGAAACGGACCGTGATTGATTGAGCCATGGCGAGTTAATATCTACGTCTCTATCGCCGAAAATTGTAAAAAGAAGAAGAACAAGACTAGAAAAACGATAATTCTAGTCCGTTATGGCGTTATCTATGTATAAGTTCTTGCCAAACTCTTATATCTTAGCCGGACTATGGACTTGTTTGCAAGAGCTAACTGTTAGTTAGTTATAAAATTAGATAAAATTAGCTCTAGTGCATCCAAAGCGGTCCGGAGAATTAATATATGATTTATTTTTTAAAAAAATCCTCAACTATTGTTAGCCAATTACATGTAACTTAGGATAATTTTTAGCCCCAATTAGTAAGTAGTCCTGTATATTTAAATAGACTTATATATAAAAAAAAATACGTGGGAGCTCTATAATGTAATCATCAATATTTAAGGAATAATAAATAGTTATTCTACTTTGTGACTGTGTATTTTTCTGTTTACCTCTACTATATTAAATTATTAATTATGAGAGCACAACAAAAAGAATGGCTGTGTGGCTTTCATGATGGCCGCGTGACGACAATGTCGATCTTGGAATTATGTGACGTAGGACGGAAACTAATATGGGACCTGTATCCACCTCCTACGACGTAGTCACACCTCTACATGTGTGGATATACCTGTAGTCTTTACATTGTTGTCATCAAAGTTGAAATTTCTCTTCTTCATAATTCCCATTAGAGCACCCATAGCTATGCCGGTTCGATGCATTTAATGCATCTATGGAACTCGGTCCTATACACTGCAGGGTTGTCTCCATGGAGCACCGGCTCCCAGCCATCGAACCCACCCCTTCACATTAAAAAAATATATTACGTGGGTCCCACACTACGGGAAGAAAAATGACGGTCATTTTTTTTATTACGTGGGTCCCACGTATCGAGCCGAGCTCGCTTCTACACATTGCGGACGGAGGAACAGCTGACGTCGAATCAAAGAGGGACCCATCTATAGAACCGACCCCGCGTCCATACACTGGAGCTGCTCTTAGATGCTTTCTCCCTCCACGATAAATATCGCCAACTCGACAAATATGGGACCTGTATTGTTTTGGAAACATAGCCAATAGGTAGCCTCTCTCTCTCTATGAAAGTCGTTCACACGTTTTACTCTTTTCCTTTCCCTTTATTACTGGACGCATGCTTTATTATTAACGACAGGAGAACACATAACGGTAAAAGGAAAATACATCAAAGGTTGAAAAGCGCAAGTGGTGAGGAAATGAGGATTGGATCAGCGTCGGCCGTTGTGTAATCGGTGATTGACAGCTCGTGAGTCGAGTCTCAGCCTGGAGATCAGAGTTCATGCACAACTCGTAGCGCAAAGGCGTCGTGGACTTGCGATCAGGAATTATAATCTTCAATAGTCGCGCAAGGCTAGATAGAAAAGTGCTCTAGAAATCATCGGTCGCAGTTGCAGACGCACGCATCGACCTATTCCCCATCGCCCTAGGTCATACATCTCCTATAACTAAAAAAATAAAACGTAGATATTTTTTTGATGCGACATTCAACATGGGTCCATCGTCCTGTCTCCCCGTGCGATTTTTTTTCCACCTAAACCCAAACGCCGCATATCACGCTTGCCATCCGTGGCGTCGCCTCTTCTTGGCTCGCCCGCGCATGCATGGACCCGGCGCGCGGTCTCTCCCATCCCGCGCGACAATCCCGGCTACACTGATCCCTGATTGCATGATCCGAAATTACCAGTGATTTCGTTCACCTCCCTTTCGGATTGTCTCTTGCCTTTCATCGATCATGTTGATTTCCTTTTACCTCCCCTTTCCAATTATCTCTTTTCTTCCATCGATCACGGGACGACAGTCCTCGACCTCGCCCATCGCGCTCTCTCTTGCCCGTCCACCCGCCGTCTATCGCGGTCGCCCATCGACCTCGCTCCTCCGTCACATGGCACGTCGTCCATGGCGCGCACGACGGCTTCGGCGAGCCGAGGGTGCCCCATTATGGCGTGACGCACAGCAACCGCACCGCCCTGAACTAGACGGTAGAGAAGGAGGACGCCGAGACGCCACGCGATCCGGCAGTGTCGTCCGACGTGAGATCGTCCTCGAGCCAGCCTCCACGGCCACGACCACCACGCCAGACGCGGGGGAGGCCAGCGAGGCGAAGCAAAGGGGGGCAGACGCCCAAGCGACGTGAGTCGAGTCGGCGCACCGGTTTGAAACGTGGCCGTACGTCCTGCTGAATCCCGTTGGCGGCTGTCGCGGCACGAGTGGTACGGCAGCCGGCGTCCGGCCGTGCCCTTCGAAATTTTGGTGCGCTTCCATCTTGCTCCTGGGGCAGCGGCACGACGGCGGAGGCAGCGGCGATCTCGCTGCTGCACCTGCATGTTACTACATAACGATCGATACAGGTGCGCACCCTTCTCAAGTTCTAGGTCACGGATCGCGGGACCATGTCTTAGCCCTTTGCGCTGTTCTAGGATTTGTATCATCGCTGCTAGGTAGTTCAACAACGTTTGGCTGGCGCTATAGAAAGGTCAGAAGAGCAATCGTATGCAGGCCTGCATGCTTCTGTAGGGAAAACAGCAAGAGACTGTCGTGTCGGACTTAACACAGGAGCCTGACATCCTTTGTTTTTTGTTGTTCTTTTACTTCTTGCTGATAGCATTGATTATATCATGTGTTTTTTGGATTATTTATTTAGATCTGATTATTGTGTTGGTGCTGCTATGTTCCAAGCAGGTGGAATTTAGTTCATAATTTCCTTGCCGTATGCACGCAAGACCATTCTGGTTGTCCATTCCTCACATGGCATTGTAAGGTATGGATTGGTATTTTTTTGCATCAGCAGGTGCTCACATTTTGGCATTTGTTTCCAGGTTTTGTTAAAGAACTTTCCAAGGACAGGTATTCAGGAAATGGAGGTTATGATATGTAAGTTATCTTTGGTGTACTAGCTAATGGAGGAACTCCGATCCTCTTTGTTCTGTCTTTACATTTTACTGATAACACAGGTCAAGTTTGATTAGACGATGATTTAGGTATCTCTAGGCTTTCAGAATTGTGATACATGCATTTTTTTTTAGTTCAATACACGTTTGGAAAATTCCACTAGGTGCTGATGTATGTATTCTAGCAATACGTGTCTCGGTATTTTAGTTCTAGCGCAGAGGCTTCATCTCCAGCACCTGCAGTAGGCTACCTCCACTAATTCTAATTTTGAAGATGTTGTGCTTCCTGATTTCCATTATGGCCTCATTTGATGGTGTTGTGCTTTCTTTAGTTAAGCAAGATTTTTTGTTTATTCAGATTTTTTTTTCAGGCCCACATGTCTTGGAACAGGCGACAAATTGGTCATTATGTGGCTACAGGCATCTACAATATAGGCCGTGTGCGGTGACTCTTTCTGAATAGACCAAATTTGTGGACTGCATGGATAGCAATGTCAGAATATTGCGGTCAGATCCTAATCATTTTTCACAAAGGCATCACCATATTGTTAGAGAAAAACTACAACCTTTTGGCTTTCACTAAACCATCATAGTTTTGAGCGTGGTTGTTGAATTCGCAGTTTCCTAATCCTCGCTTTGTTCCCAGGTTGGTTCGGATAAGCTCTGCTTGGCTGAATGAAATCCAAAAATAACTTCAGTAGAGTTGCTTGCTAAACATATTGCCGAACATGGTTTCATGTCAGGTTTATATCATTTGGTTTCATCTCAGACAATAATAGCTTCAGTAGGGTTCCTTTGCTGAACAGAGGTTTGAGGTTTCGTCAGGTTTATATCATTTTGTTTTATTTAAGTATTCTGTAAGGGAAAATGAATCAGTGTGGTTATGTTCGAATCAGTGTAGTGCAGGGGGACACTCCTTTAATTTTGTCAATCTTGTTTTTTTTTTTTGCTAGAGCAGAGCAGCACAGGGCTTCAAGTTTTTTATACCAGTTTGTTTTTTTCACTTGGAGTGTAATCTAGGTTTCAGAACAACTACTTTAATATATTTTAACCTGATTCTCTGATATTTACACACTACACAATTCCTTGAATTTTTTACAAGATTGCTGAGATTCCTGGAATGCTTCAACACCAGTAAAACTGACAAATATTTATATTGATGTCCTATTGGGTATTTGAAACTATTGGCTATTTGAAACTCTGTCATGTCGTACACTGTCTGTCCTATTAGTGATATCATGAATCTATGTGAGCTATCTATCCCCAAGAGTTGCATAACCTGTAGCAATATCGAGATTCGTCACCCTTTGACAAACGTTCGCGACTTAATTCGGCCCATGACCAGCCCATGCAACATCTTTGTTACCAGCCTAAACTTCACACCCTTCTACTTCGCCGTCATTGAATCCTGACATGACAAAGCATTGGCATGCATATCCTTCAACCTCCTTTGTGAATGCTCGGTTAGTACTGACGTGGTCGGATAATATTTTGTTGTGAATGCTCGGTCCGTACTGAGGTGGTCCCATAATATTTTGTTCTGGTAGCAATGTACCGGCAAGATTCTATAGGTAGAATAGTCCTAAAGCCACACATATTTATACGGTGAGTATAACATATTTTATTTTAAGTTTTTTGAGAGATTTTCAAGTCATGAAGTATTATCTATGTGACAGGCACTAATATTTATATATATACTCAAACATACGTATAAGATGGCATGGAGATACGGTGGAACTTATAAGTAGATTTATTGGCGCACAAAAGAAATGGTATCGGAGATTTCTTCCTACCGTTATAAAATATTATCTTAGCCACGTCATGGAAAGGTCTGACGCTGC